AACGCAAAAACAACCAATTTACACTTTTTAGTGAAATATAGGTGTCCTAATAGTGTTTTTAGCAGTGTGGGACACATATACCACTGTCAACAGCTCAACACATGTGTTCTGGTGTTTCGTGACCCTTTAAAATGATATAAGTTCAATGAACTCATAAGGTTAAATTGATTTGGTTTAAAAAATTAAGGCAACAGGAATGTTTTACAGTGCAGTGGAGCTTTATGTCCAGCAACACCCCTGGTTCATTTACTAAAAAAATTTAATTTACTCACAGTTTTTTTTTTAAGTAAAGTCAACTAATAATTTTTTTTCACATTTTGGGGTATTTGCAAAATTCTACTTTCAACTAAAAGCTTACTTCGCTATAATTACTACCTACACTTTGGATATGCATTTACATTTCGCCTCACATTCCACATACTTAATGATTATTGCATCATCATACAAAAAAAATGAAAAACCCAAAGAAAAAACTTTAGCACACGGTTATGGTGTAAATGGACATCTTATTTCTTTGTTTCACATTAAAGGTTCACGAAACCCTCGAGTACTTTTTTTGAGATGTTAACAGATTTGTGTGTGTTGAGCATCAGTTAAGACAACATTAGCAGCTTTAATTGTGGAAAAAATAGATAATTTTGAGCTTCTGTCAGCTAATTTCAGCTTCCAGGTTTAAAATGATTTTGGGGGCGGATCAAAATCGTCAGGGCCAATACAGCAGAGCTGTGTGTGTGCAGCAAGCATTTTTGTTGGGAGAGCAGTATGAGAATTAGAGAATGGCGGACGTTGTGTTTTATTAGGAGTTTGTTCACATTTAGACACATCGCCGTGCTGTTGTGTTCGCCTAAATCCTCCAGATTACCAGCAGGACTAATGGTTAAAACAGACAGGGCAAGAGACCTGCTGCACTGAGTCTGCATTCAGACCCGGAGATTGAGGGAGAAGTCCTCATTTATTGTGTTTATTTGAACACCGTTATCTTTATAATGATTTAAATTGTGGTTATGTGTATATAAAATTACAAATAACAAATGTAGCAGGGTATTCAATTGCTATTTCTTTGCATTTTGACTTTGTAAACTGGGTCTCCTCAGGGTTTGTGTCTCATTTTGTGAGCCGAATGACAACAGTTGTTCCTCCTTCTCCCCTGCTGGCCACGCCCACTATCGTGCATCTTTTGAAAAATTCTGAGGTGGACGTGAACCGAAAGTGGGGGGTGTCATGACCCTTTAAAGAAAGGTCACAGTGTACTGGAATGGCATGAGGACAAATAACTAAATGACACACAACATCCCTTTCATTTTTATGGTGAAAAAACCCTGTCACAGCCAAACATGCAGGAACAAATCTCAATTCCTAAAATAACTGATGGTCTGCAATGACTTCCAAGAATCTCGAATCTTTTCTGAATCTGCAGCGCTGTCCATATTGATGACTGCTTTACTGTGCATGTTTATGGTGTTCATCCGTGACGCTGCGCATGACACACACACACACACACACACACACACACACACACACACGCTGATGCAAATCTGTAATTAATTAGTGCACTTCTGCTATTAATATCCTCTCTCTGTCTGATGTGCTTTGTATGGCAGCGAGTACAGTCAAACCCCAGCCAGATATTCCACAACACTTCACTTTCTCCATCATTTCTGCTCTCTGGCTGGAATCAGGCTTCATGTAATACTGTATTTATTGTGCATTGTTTGGCACACGCTGAGCATGAATTCTCCAGCGGCGCAAGCAGGAGGTTTTGTTATGCTGGGAAACTCTGGAGCTGGTGTTTTATACATATGACTCCTATTTATGCTGAATGCTTGATTGTGATTGGCTGATGAGCAGTCTATAAGGTTTGCTGTAAGAGAACAGGCACAGCTAAAGTAGTTCCGGCAGGTTTGGAGCGCATCACAGCTCACTCCGCTGAATGATTTGAGTTATTTCAGAGCAGCAACATTCAGAAATCACATCAGTACACAACAGAAGGAGGAGGAGGAGATGTGGAGGACACTAGTGCTACACACAGGAGACGTTTGAGGAGGACAAACACCGGACTAATAAACTCTCAAATACAACATCTCTACAGTGGATTCAGCAGCTGAGCGGGAGACCAGAGGAGAAGAGCAATAACAGACTCTTAAATAAACATTCAAAACTGCGTTGGGCTGTTGATTGGATGTTGACATGTGGGTGTGGCTCTTAGATGTATGCAAATAAGCATTAGTTGTTGGGGAGGGGCTTAAGCAGACTAAAGTTGATCTTTTTGCACTAATTTATGAATTTTATATACTTAAAATGTACCAATTTAATGCATTTTAGGTAACTCTTTACTTTAAGATACAATTCTCACTATTACTCATTCATTCATTCATTCTTTCATTTTCATCCACTTTTCCGGAGCCGGGTCGCAGTCTTAGTAAAGAACCCCAGACTTCCCTCTCCCCAGACAGATCCTCCAGCTCCTCCGGGGGGATCCTGAGTCATTCCCAGGTCAGCCGAGAGACATAGTCCCTCCAGCGTGTCCTGAGTCTCCTCCAAAGCCTTTTCCCGGAGGGACATGCCTGGAATGCTTCCCTGGGTAGGCATCCAGGAGGCATCTGAAACAGATGCCAGAGCCACCTCAGCTGACTTCTCTGGATGTGGAGGAGCAGCGGCTCTACTCTGAGCTCCTCCCGGGCAACAGAACTCCTCACCCTATCTATAAGGGTGCGAAGGAAACTAATGTCGGCCGCTTGTATCCGAGATCTTATCCTTTCAGTCATGACCCGAAGCTCATGACCATAGGTGAGAGTAGAAGCATAGACTGATTAAATCGAGAGCTTTGCCTTTCGGCTCAGCTCCTTCTTTACCACAATGGACTGATACACTGACCGCATTACTGCTGCCGCTAAACCAGGAGTCTCAAACTCAATTTACCTGGGGGCCACAGGAGGCAAAGTCTGGGTGAGGCTGGGCCGCATAAGGGATTTAAAAAAAAAAAGTCCTCAAATGTCATTATTAACAGTTTTAATTTTTCTTCTGCACATGAAGTGTCCTGAACATTAATAGAACATTGAGTGAAGATTATGAACAGTTCTTCTGAACATGGCATCTTTTGCCTACTTCTTGCTGCCAGAGACTTGACAGCGCTTCTTCTCACAAATCTGAACCACATTTGGCTTTAGAGCGGAAGCAGTTGAGACCCTCAGTATAGCTTGAAGATGATCATCATTAAGTCTAGACCTGTACTTTGACTTATTGAAGTCCTGGGAAAAAAGTGGGGGAACTCACTCAAAACTTCCATTCCCTCACCTAAAAAAAGGCGTATATATGTATAAATAAAACACCCCCACCCCACTCCAGTCACATCAGTCTGTACCAGTCTGTATCTACCTATAATATATATAAGATGCAGGCTGTAGCTGGGTAGCTAAGTGGCAGGCAGGAGCTTACCTTGGTTCTGAGAGCGGGGCTCTCTCTCCCCGCTCCGCTGATTCTGTCAGTGTACAGTGGTCGGCGCGGGCCACAAAATATTGCACTGAGGGCCGCAAATGGCCCGCAGGCCGCGAGTTTGAGACCCCTGCGCTAAACCAATCCACCTGTCAATCTCACGCTCCATCCTTCCCTCACTGCTTCACTATTAATAAACTATTATTTAAGACTTTTACCTCCATAAACTCCTAATTTTATGCTCATTAATAGTAATTAAGGTAGTATTTGGGTTTAGGTGTTGGGTAGGATTAGGCATGTAGAATGAGATCATGCAGAATATAGGTACTTACACCAAGAGGAATTGCACCTTTCTGTGTTTCTTTAACGGTTTGTTTTTTAGCTATAAGATTGTGAATCATGGATTTTGAAGATGTTATGATACAAATAATAAGATGAAAATGTATTTTTTCAGGTTTTGGACTGTATGGATGTAGACATGAATAAGTGAATGATAATGATTGATCTGCTATTTTCCTGTTAAATGTTTTTTGAAGGTGAAGGTAAATATTTAGTTTGTTTAATTATGGTTTATTGAAATGAAAATGAGATTAACCATCGAGTGGGCGTCTAACTAATGATGAACGTGACTGATTGTGGGAGTGGAGTGAGAGGTTTGTCACACACTGAGGAAGGCATTGTGCCGAAACGTTTGTGTTTTGTATCACAATGTAAAAAACAAAGTGTACAAAGCAATTATTAATTGAGTGCAAATCATGACCTGAACTTTATAAGTACTAATAAACAGAGAATATCTTAATAAAAGGCAGGTAATAAGACAGTTAATAGAGAGAATTGGTATTTAATCTAAGGAGTTAAGTTTACTATAGACTCCTTATATATTTCTATTTACTTGAAAACTGACTCCTTCTATACTCACTATTTCACAACATTAAATGATTGATAAACTAATTTCGAGAGGAGCTTGTGCTTATGATTGAGTGCAGCCGGTCACGCATTAGCTAATACCACCAATCAGACGAAGCCTAACTCACTATAAATAACCAGAGTGTCTTGCCTTAGCCATCTTCATGTTGAAGAATCCCTCCTTCCACCCCGACTCCATCCCTTTTCCCTTGACAGGGGGACACGGCGGCCCAGTGGTTGGCACTGTTGCCTCAAAGCAAGAATGTCACTGGGTCAAGTCTTTACCCGGCCAAGTTGGCATTTCTGTGTGAAGTTTACATGTTCTCCCCGTTCTCGCGTAGGTTTCCCCCGGGCAAGACATGTGACATAAGTAAACTGACCAAACCAAATCGACACCATAGAAGAGCACTTAATCAGTAGTATATCTATCCACAGTTATTCCTCATTCCTATTCGCCATAATAAGCAGGAGAGCTCTCGAGACCTACCTGAGCTCAAACTCTCCTCTCACCCTACAACTGGAGGGAGCCCTAAGCTCGAGGATCTCATGAGCGCAGGGCTCTCTCCCGGGACAGTATGCTAAACACGCTTCATCAGCTAAGGGTGAACTGTTGAAACTGGATGTGTTATTATTCAGTGAATAGAGTTGAGACTTTAACTTACTTTATTGTTCTCCAATCTCTTTTTAGATGACCTGGAAGAAATAAAAATGACACTGTTAAATGAAATCAGCATTTTTACAATACTGGAGGACAATAATAAAAGTAAACCCTTAGGAAATCCTCATGGCAGTGCCACTTACATTATCTAGAGAAGACGTAAAAACGCAGAAGACAGCTTTAAGTGATCTGCCAGATTACGAGTGTGCTTTCTGCAGACGTCACAGGCCTGATTCTCCTCAGATTAGCTGTGATGTTTCCAGATCTTCGTGGGAGGAAAGCAGAACAATGCTGGCTTTTAGTTCAGCTCCGGGACGCAGCCATCAGACGCTCTCTGTGTGGCCCACTTTAACATAGGACTCAACATGTTTCGCATGAAGCTTCCCATAGGAACGCAAGACAACTCACAAGTGAGAGCTCTTAAATATCTCACTTGTTGGCTATAAACAGCAGTGAGATTAAACGCAGAGCGAGTCAGATGGAGAAAAGCAGCTCATGTTTACTCTCCTTTAGGAAGATACATCACAATCAAGTCAGAGGGACGTTTTAGATTATATTTTTCATGAGAGAGATGTTCACTGACTGAGACATCGTCTGCTCCTTTACCAAAACAGGCTTAATGATTTGTATTAAACTTTTGAAATATTGAACACAGAACTAATCTCACTAATAAAGTGTCTTATTATCAGCTTTTTGTATATCAGCACCTATAAAGTATGATTTTATTTGCAACACAGGCTCATTGTGGATATGTACCCCTGTCTACATTTCTGGACAGTGCAAATTATGTAGCCAGAGTCCGCTACGGGGCGGTATGACGCCACAGATGGCTTCTGTTCATTTTTGCGCTACTAGCTGACCGCTTACCTCTGTGTGGACGGCTTTTCCGGTGTTACCAGTTTGCCCAGTAGTTCGCTGCAGATGCTGATGGACTTGTGACATGGAGCTAAGTTGACCACAATGATAAGGTTCGAGTCTAATGAAAAACGGTTCCAGAAAGCAGGTAAAACAAAAGCAAATAAATAAACAACAGGCAGAAAACGTGGTGAAATCTCATGGCCGCAATGGCTTTTCTTTTTCTAGATTGCTTCTGAAAACACTATCGGATGGGTTTAGGGAAGGGGGTGGATGGGTCAGTCAGCAAGCTGGTCTGGTCGGCTGGTGTGAATATTGCACCCTCTGGTGGATTCAAGCGAGAAGAGGATGCGCAACAGAAATTTGAGTTCATCAAAATGCATACACAGCACCCTCTGGTGGATTTGCAAGAAATAAACTGTGAGCAGACGTACCTTATGTTACATATTTCGCTGCCCACAAAAATGTAGACCTGGGTACATATCCGCAATGAGCGAGGGTTTATATCCCTAATCCTACTCAACAGCTAAGCCCATCAACTATCATACTAACTATTAATGAGCAGCTAATTAGTACGTTTATTATACTATTAGTGCTAGTTAATGGTTTATTAATAGCAAAAATAGTACCTTAAATTAAATAAAGCATGACTGAACTTTCTTTTAAAGTGAATGGGAGATCAAATTTTTGATTGGCTTATCACATTGCAACAAAAACACACACCCATTACTCTGTAAAGACATCATGAAATCACAAATTACAGTTCCTAATTTAATATGAGCATTTGTAGGGATTATTATAAACATGTGTACTTATATATGTACTTTTTTTAAAATTGCTCATAATGCCTCATAATCTATAATCAAATACCTTAACACCTCTGGAAATGACACCACTTCCTGTCTCTCACCCGTGTGGAGCACACTCAGCATTGCACAGTGTTTTTCATGAAGTATGGAGTGGTTATAAGGTGTCTGGTGCAGACGGAGAGCAGAGATTGAGTCCCAGGTGGTTTGCCAAGCCCACAAACCTGCAAGAAGCACACAAAAAACTGATGAAAATACATGTTTTTTTTTCCAGAACCATGTTGAACGCTGATGAGAAAGTGTCTGGTGCATACGGAGAGGAGTGTCTTTAAAGTCTGCGTGAACTGAAAGATGCTGAGATTTCGATTTCAGTATGTTAATGTACTTTAAATTAAAATTGAATAGTGAGTAGGGGGCGGGGCTTAATTTTGTGCATCATTCTTTCATAGAATACTAACAATAAGAGGGGCGTGGTTATGGTTATTGTCATGCAGTTGACTACAGAGGCACTCAGGTTGACTATTATCAAAGATAAGATTAACAAAACAAACTGTTCTTTTTTTAATTAGTGGAATGCATTGCACAGCTTAATTATTCACTTTAGAGTCAGAATTAAATTAAGATGTACTCTTTTATTTTAATATGGATTTAGTGCATATGATGTATCTTTGCACTTCATTATTTTGCAAAAATGTATTTGCCCTCAGAATCTTATATCAAATATTATAACCTTCCTTCCATCCTTGAAACAACTTCACTTTAAAGGGATGCCTTTAGGGTGGAGCTACCAGGCCTTTAGGGACAATCAGTATTTTAGGGCGGGTCTATCACTCATTTAGGGTGGGATTATCAGTCAGGGCGTGGCTATCAGACCTTATCATTCCTTTTGAGCATGGCTTTCAGTTAGAATGAGACGATCAGTCATTAAGAGACAATCAGTATTTTAGTGCGAGTATATCAATCATTTAGGGTGGGGCAATTAGCCCTTTAGGGTGGGGCTATCAGCCGTTTAGAGGGGAATTATCAGTCGGGGGGGCTATCACAGCTTTAATGTGGTGCTATCATTCCTTTAGAGGAGGGCTATTAGTCATTTAAAGCAGGGCTTTCAGTTGTTCAAGGCGGGGCTATCAGTCATTTAAGGCGGGGCTATCAGTCATTCAGGACAGGGCTATCAGTCATTTAAGGCGGGGCTATCAGTCATTCAGGACAGGGCTATCAGTCATTTAAGGTGGGGCTATCAGTCATTTAGGACAGGGCTATCAGTCATTTAAGGTGGGGCTATCAGTCATTTAAGGCGGGGCTATCAGTCATTCAGGGTGGGGCTATCAGTCATTCAGGACAGGGCTATCAGTCATTTAAGGTGGGGCTATCAGTCATTTAAGGCGGGGCTATCAGTCATTCAGGGTGGGGCTATCAGTCGTTCAGGGCGGAGCTATCAGTCATTCATGGTGGTGCTATCAGTTGTTTAGGGCGGAGCTATCAGGATGTGTCTCGTTGACTGACTTCACTTCAATCTGATCTGTTCCCAAAGATCAAAATCCTGCACCGCTAAACATTTTTCTACCATATTTCAGGACTGTTTCAAACGGAAGTACATCATGATAGAGGAAGAAACGACAGTCTTATCTTTTATTTCAGGGCGACTTCATGAACAACAATGTGAGCTAGTGAAATAAACCTTGCAGATTTCGATTTCACACAGACTTTAAGATATCAGAGAGCAGCTTCAGAACAATAACATTTTCCCATGATGCTCCCACGCTGATGCGGCTGAGTGTGTGTTCACAGGGGATTCCCTGAAGAGCAGACAGACTGCATAATGCTGTAATGACAGGGAGCACCGCAGCGTGTGTGTGTGTGTGTGTGTGTCAGCTGTGGTCTGTGCTGTTCAGTCCAGTGTTTCCACTGCAGGGCTGTATCAGTGACGCATGTGAGCTTCACTGTGATCTGCAGCTCTAAATGTCACATCGGTCTGAAACAGAAGAAACTCCTAATGCAGTCGCATGCAGAGATGAGTCACGGCCGCCCCCTCCCATCACTTTACAACAAATACTGTTAAATCTGCTTCAGTGGCATTTGTCCTGACTTATTTCCACAGAAGTGAACACAGGTCACAGGAAATCCACAGCGACCTTTGGCTTCTGTCATGGACATTTAGAGATAGAAACAAACTACGCAAATACGCAAACACACACACGCAAATGCTCATCCAATGCCTTTCAGTGGTGCAGTCCCAACGGCTAAAATACACTCATGCATTGCAGTGACGCTAACAATATAAGAGTTTAAAAATAATTACAATTCAGCCCAGAAATCAATTCTTACTACTAAAAATAGTGTCTCATTACATATAAAGCACATATTCTGCCCTATCCCTAATCCTACCCAACACCTAAACCCAACTACTTACAACTTTACCTAACAACTTCAGGAGTTTACTGAGCTACAGGTCATAGATAATGGTTTAATTATAGTGAGAATTGTACATTAGAATAAAGTGTGACCACTCTACACTGTAAATTGTGATTTCACGATGAGATAAATGTGTGTGTTTTTAGTGCAATGTGTGATAAACCAATCAGAATTTTATCTCCCACTCACTTTAAAAAAAACATTCGGTCACATTTTACTTTCAGGCACAATTCTCGCTATATTAACAAACCATTCACTATATTTTTTAGTTAATTATCTGCTTATTAATAGTTATTAAGGAGGTATTTGGGTTTACGTATTGATTAGAATAAGGGATGTTGAATAAGATCATACTTTTTAAGTGTGAATAAATAACCCAAGGTTATTAGAGATAAAGTATGTGCCCAGGGCTACACTTTCGAGAACTGAGAAATATGTACGCTGTACTGTTTTCTTGCATTCTTTCTTGCAAAAAAAAAAATCCACAAATCCACTAGAAGGCAGGGTGTACATTTTTGACAATCTCAAATATACAATGCTGGGACCAAGCGACAACCTTCTGTTTCATGAATGAGTTGTTAATAAGGGTTAACATTACTTATTCATAACATAGGCTATAGGCAGGGCCAGACGGAATCTGCGGACGTTTTTTGCTATTTCTGCGGAGAATTTGGTAAAAATCTGCGGATTTCAGCGGAATTATTTTCGGAGTATCCAGCGGAGTATCATAACTTACACTTTAATATATTAAATAAAAAGTAATAAATTACTGAATAAAAACTGAATAAATTCTGATTTACACATTTTATTAATAATGGGCTAAAAAACTGCAGAAATCTGCAGAATTCTGCGGAAAGTCTGCGGAATTCTGCACGTGCAGATTCCGTGTGGGCCTAGCTATAGGCCTAACATTACTAACTAATAACATTGTCAGGTCGAGCTGCAAACAATGCAGGGACTAACCTGGACCTGCTATGACAAGCTGCTGCAACGTCACGCTGCTGCTTTCCTCTTTTCATGTGCGACTCGATGACTTTGAGCCCCATGGCCCCTAACGAAAAGGTCTTTTTGCAGAATTTACACATTGCGTCTTTTCCACGTCGTTAAATGTACAATTTCCCATCTTTGCATTTTGACACATCAACAACCGCATAATAACAGCACGCAGGTGCAGACCGACGTAAGCGTCTGTACTCTGTAGCCGACCTACCGTAATAAGCTAATAAATCACGGAGACTGTCATTTCTCTCCTGTTTTACAAGTGCTAAATTAATCAACTAGTAGATGTTTTATGGTGAACCACTGTTCTTCCCAATCGTCATTAAGCACACCGGCTGAAAATTTAATACCTTCAGCCACTTAACGGTAAAATTTAAGACAATTTAAGACCTTAATTTCCCCGGATTTTTATTTAAGACATTTTAAGACTTTTTAAGGACCCGTGGGAACCCTGTTCTACATTTCACATTTCCACCGCATCTGGGGAACCTTTGGTCACACTTTTCATCATACTACAGTTTGAGACACCCTAATTCTATTTTCCAATACTATATAGGACGGATAGTATGTGAATTGGGACGCAGACTGACTTTACTCTGGCAATATAAAGTGTAAATTGTTCTCAGGTGTGGAGTTTGTCTAAACACATGTCAGCAGGCTGCTGTACGAGGCCGTTTCTCAGCTCATTTATTCTCATAGACGTGGCAGATGAACTTTCAGAGGCACAGTTACTGAAGATCTGCTGCTGTTTTTCTGCATAGCTGCTTTTACTGAGGTGCCCAGGATGAACTGATGGATGGAGGTTTGTGCCTTGAGATCTGGTTCACACCTCTCTCCTCTGCAGTGTTTGGAAATGTGTTTCTCAAACTATTATCATGAAATATTTGACAAAGATTTTGTATTTTGTGCTTTTAAAAATCGTTTTGTGTGTTTATTATGTATTGTAGTGCCTAACAAAGTGCATTACAAATAAACTGTACTGTTCATCACTACTTTTAGTTTAATTTCCTCACATGGGGAATCAGATAGCTTCCGGAAAATCTCAGATATGTATGGTCAGGACAAACGTGATTTCTATCAGTACCTGCAAACCAGGACCTACAGTTGAAGTCAGAATAATTAGCCCCCCTGAATTATTAGACCACTTGTTTATTTTTTTTCCCCAATTTCTGTTTAACAGAGAGCAGATTTTCTTCAACACATTTCTAAACATATTAGTTTTAATAGCTCATCTCTAATCTCTATTCTTCAAGACACTTCTATACAGCTTAAAGTGACATTTAAAGGCTTCACTAGGGTAATTAGGTTAACTAGATAGGTTAGGGTAATTAGGCAAGTTATTGTATAATGATGTTTTGTTCTGTAGACTATAGGGGGAAAAATAGCTTAAAGGGGCTAATAATTTTGACCTTAAAATGGTGTTTAAAAAATGAAGAACAGCTTTTATTGTAGCCGAAATAAAACAAATAAGACTTTCTCCAGAAGAAAAAATATTATCAGACATACTGTGAACATTTCCTGCATCTGTTCAACATCATTTGGAAAATATATAAAAAAAGAAGAAGAGAAATTCAAAGTGGGCGAATAATTCTGACTTCAACTGTACTTTAATAGCGAGATTAGATGTTTGGAGAACCATGCCGCTAATTTAACTTATTCAGTTATGGACATCTACAAGAACAAAGACTACAGGAGACTTGCTTCAAAATTGTTTCCTGCCATCCAACTCACCAAGGAAGACTCAACAAACGACATCAGACTGAAATAGGAGAGAGAATCCAACCTAGTTATCTCAGCGGAGGATTGGTTGAAT